CAAGATCATAGTCCCTCGATGATGCTATCTAAGTTACCTTTAAAATGATCTTAGTCCCTAAAAAAGAATGCTAAGATCCCTTGCAACATTGCTAACCATGGTTATACGATAACCCATGCTCGTCCCGTTTATATCCAAAGATATGGTTACTTACCAAATTAATGGTAAGATAACAATGTCAAAGGAAAAGAAAATGAACAAGAAAGACTTTTGAGTAGGTAGAGTGCTCCTAATTACTTGCTCAATTTCAAAACAAAACATCCTTGCTATTTTCAAAACAAACACTTACACTTTCAAAACATCTTACAAAACTTGAAAACATTTTCAAAAGATCAACACTTTGTATACATTCTTACGAATGAGAATCATTACAAAGTTTGCCTAAACAAAGGCCTCTTTACAAAATACTTTCAAAAAACCACACAAAGCACAATTTCAAACAAAAGCAAGTGATCTAGCAAGTAACTAAGAGCCCATGGAAAAACATGGATGAAAAGGGTGCTAATACCTTCCCTTTTCATAATCTACCCCCCGAACTCAAGAAATAATCTCAAAGGGCTTTCCTGTGATTTTTCACCTTTCCTTTTGGATAAAAGAAAAGTCGATGGCGACTCTTGCTAACTGCAACATTTGCGATCAAATGCAAAACCTTCAAATCAGTTCTCCCACCGTATCACAGCATGGATAGGGGGTTGGTAAGAATTACAGTCATACCCCTTCATATAGTAATGGTGGATCCAAGAGGTCCACATTCTATTTTTCTTTGCATTCAAGTCCCACAACATCTTACATATCGAGGCTTAGTTCCACTCACACAGCGCGATCGTGTTAAAACCTCCCTCCACCTTTGGCCTGCAAATTTGGTCCCATGAAACAGGAGCTTTTTGTTGCTAGAATCTCTACCAGTCCAGAGGAACTTCCTGCATAATCCCGCAATATGCTGAATAATCTTCTTTGGAAGAGGGAAAATCTGCATCCAATAGTTAGCAATAGAAAATAGCACACTTTTCACTAGGAGGAATCTTCCAGCATAAGACAAGAGTTTAGAACTCCAGTGATTAATACGACACAGCATCCTATCAATAAGTGGCATACAGTTCAGAACAAATACCTTCTTGCAATCCAGAGCAACGCCCAGATATTTGAAAGGGAGACTACCCCTCTCAAAGCCAGTAGCAATTTGGACAACCTGCATAATATCCTCCTCCATACCCCCAAAATACACTTTTCTTTTCTGCACACTAATATTCAGGCCTGTAGCATCAGAAAAGACTTTGACACTTTGCATCAGGATCTTGATGGACTCCACATCGCCTCTAGTAAACAAAAGGATGTCATCCGCGAAGCAAGTGTTGATAATGCGCATTTTCTCACACTTAGGATGGAAATTGAAGTTATGATTAAATTTCAACCCTCGAAGTAATCTATGCAAATACTCCATAATGATCACGAATAATAGAGGGGAGATGGGATCCCCTTGTCTCAGCCCCCGTTGAGCAGGCAGCAAAGCAGACGACACGCCATTAATACCAAATTTATAAGAAACAATTATACATACCCGCACCCAGTTATTGAACAGTTGTGGAAAGCCCAGCTCACTCATACTCTGGAACAAATCCATCCATTCCACAGTATCGTACGCCTTCTGAATATCCATATGAATCATACATCTAGGGGAAATATTTTTCCTGTTGTACCCTCTAACTAACTCCTGAGCCAACATGATGTTATCTTGAATTCTTCTACCAGGTATGAAGGCAGACTGACTCTCATCAATAATTGAGTCTATCACCTTGCATAACCTACTAGCCAAAATCTTAGAGATAATTTTGTAGAACACACTGCAGCAAGAGATTGATCTCATATCTCTAACAGTCTTTGCATCCGAATTTTCGGGAATGAGAGTCACTAGTGAGTAGTTAAACGGTTTATACAAAGAGGTAGTCTCAAAAAACTCCTTGATGGCCTTACAAACGCCACCACCAATGATTTGCCAAGCAAACTTGAAAAACACAGCATTATACCCATCATCGTCTGGGGCTTTATTATTTCCCATACTGTTTAAGGAACTTTTAATCTCTACCTCCGTGACAGGTTGAATCAGGTATAAACCATCTTTTCTACTAATGGTTTTACCGTTTCTAAAAGCAAGGATATCAATACCAGCAAGTTTTTGATTTTTGCAGCCAACCAGTTTCTGATAAAAATTCACAAGCTCCTGCTCAATTACTTCATGGGTGGTCAACAAACTACCACCAAGCGCCTGCAACTTGTAGATCCCATTCTAATTGTTCTTTTCTTTAATTGCAACATGGAAATAAGCATTGTATTATCTCCTAATCTCAACCAATCAACTTTAGCTTTTTGCATTAGAATCGATTCTTCCACTTGGGACAGATGTAAAACCTGCTCAGTTCTCCTCTTGACATCATCAATAGCTTTCATATCCCCCAAATTCCGGCTATGTTGTTCCTGGGCTTCTTTCAGATCTTGTCTAGCCTTGGCAATTTGATAAATTAAATTATTGTAATATTTATATGTTAATCATCACTTAAGATATTTTTTCTCTTAATTCGTATATATTTTTACATAAACTTCTTAATCATAACTATATAATATTTATTTAATATTTATATTAGCTTTGCGCGATCCGCACAAATGCATGAATACTTTACTAGTTACTCATGAAAACCCAAACACCGTTTACTTTTTCTGAAAAATCATAAACATGAGATAAACAATTTGATTATCATGCACACACTAATAATTTTTTTATAGAGTCGAGATATGAATATGTTTTCAACGAATAAGATTATTTTAATAAAAATAAATAAATATTACAGTAATTTATTTGAAACTATCTTTATCAAACCAATAACTAAAATAATTTTTTAATTAAAATTAAAAAGATTATAATATAATATTGCTTCGTGATTTTTTTAAATTTTAATAATGTAATATGTACAAATTTGTATTAAATTTAATAAATATGAGATCAAATATATCATTCAGTCTTTTAAGTTAGATGTAATCTCTCTTTTTCTAAATTAAAAAACAACAACATATTCATAAACTAAATTAACCATTTAAAATTAATTTGAGAACTGAAATAATTAATAAATATATTTTTTATTGATGTGTTTGTAATTTCGGTTCATTTAAAATTTTGGTCAAATCTTACACATTTATGGTTTGTTTGGTAGTGAAAAGAAGTTGAATAGAGAGAAAGTAGTGAGAAAGAGTAAGAGATAAAAGAAATGAGAAATATAATAGATTTGATGTGTTATCTGATAAAAGAGAAAAATAGAAGAGAAAGAGATGATATAACTTTTTTAAAAAGACTAAAATATCCTTGAGTTAAAGTCAATATATATATATATATATATATATATATATATATATATATATATATATATATATATATATATATATATATATATATATATATATATATATTGAAGAGTAAAAATATAGTTTTGTTAAAATAATAAAAGTATAAATGAAAAAAAAAAACCACAACTTAAAAGCTATAAGTTCAAAAACTATTTTAAATAGTTTTTGGAAAAAAAATTAAAAATTAGTAAAAAAACTACAAATTAAAAATTAAATGACAATTATCATATAAAGTTTTTTATTAATATAAACTGAAAAGCTAAAATTTCTCTGTATAAAGTTACTAAACTGAACCTTAGTGCTTAGGCCACCTCCAACGGTGGTTTTTCAGATTGGTTTGCCAGCTTGGTATTGAAATTGTCAACAAAAAAGTTGTTCCAGCTATATATTTTTTTATTATTAAAATAATCAATTAGCCGTTGTGCAACGACTTTATTTTTTTATTTTTTTTTAAACTTTATTTATTTATTATAAATATAGGTTTGTTGGAAAATTGTATATCAATCCTATTTTCTCTCACTTTTATTTACTCTTTAATTTCAAATTTCTCTCTCACAATTTCATCATTTCATCATTATTAATTATCATTTTAAATTTTATGTTTAATTTTAATTTTATTTATTTTATATTAATTTAAATTTAAATAATTTAAATTATTATTTTAAATCAAATAAAATTTAGTATGAATAAAATATTAACATACAAACGTAAAATTGTGAGACCCAATATAAATTCTTTAAAATTGCACAATTGGAATGAAAAATAGAGTGAGTTGCTTCAAGATGATGTGACTTAATGGATCCCACAAAGAACCCAAATATGAATAGCACCATTGGAGATGCTCTTACTAGGCACAAAGGGACCTCACTCATTAATACTAGTAGAACCCTTCATTGCGACACATCGTGGGTTGACCTCTAATTCTAATCATCATTATTGGATACTCTTAGATACACTAGCATATATGAACAGATTAGAGGAATATATATATACTACAAATCTTTTTAAACTCACATCAGAAAAAGAAAAATCAGTGGCTCAAAACAATGTTGTCCATTACTTTATATATAAGTCAAAACTTTTCTAACCACACATTCAACATCTCTTTAAAGTAAATCTATCATCTACTTAGTGCAACAAATGTTTCTCGTCATGTCATCTCACATAGGAAATGATTATGATATATAAATTTTTCTAAAAAAAACACAATGTGAATCATGGTCAACCACTCACATAAAAGAGAAAATTATGCTGTTCTTACCTAAAAGATGACTGAGTTATTATATGCATTTAAGCAAGCATCAAACAAGTGCAAACACTTTCTCACATTGAAATGGTGCAAACAGTAACTTCATGTATGTATAAATTAAAATTGAATGAAATCTTTCTATATACTATACACAATCAGAAATTACATTACATTTTGACAAGGACTATCAGCAAAACTAAAACTTACATTCTCTAACTGACAATCCTGAAAAATTAAAGAATATTATAACTGATATCGACATTCGTATAAAGAATAATATTACACGATGGCATCCCCACGTTACTAAATGATGAAGCTTTGTTTCTGACTTTATAGTACACCAGCAAATTCTCGTGTTTCAAACGCGAACAGGTAAGCCGTAATTTTGGTACACTTTTATGAATCCATCAGATCCTGCTGTTACAATTACTTGACCCCACAAGTGAGAATTAGACATTCCCTTGCAAGCACTTCTCAAGAATTTATACTCTGATTTACATATTGTAGGAGAAACAACAGTTTGACCTGAGTTGAGAAGTGTTTCCTCTGGCCATGTGGCAGAAACCCTTGGGACTAACTCGGAAAGAAATCCGCGACTCATGAAGAAACAATCAGGAGAAGACAACGATGACCTCTGAATCAAGTTTTCTTCGAGTGAAGGGGACAATGGTGTTGATTCTATTCCACACCAAGGTATGGCGATCGTTGCATTGTGGGATAGAAAACTCTCGGAAGACATAATCTTCTTTGCTTTGGAAGTATTCCTATCTTGGCCGGTGTGATTCCAGATACAAACATTTGAACCTTCACTAAGCGAAACGATATGTTTCCCATCAGAGGTGAAGGAAGCATGCATCTGACCCGCACTTCTCAGGCCTGAAAGAAATAAAGAAAAAGAGGTTTAATAGCTTATTATCAAAATGAACATGATTGCACAAAAACTTAAACTCTGGGCGAAATAAGTTATCAAAGAACAAAAAACTTGGAAAATCGCATGTATGTCCGAACCAAGTCCTAATTGCAGAAATTTAAAATACACAAAGGAACACATCAGATAAGCAGCTGAAAATTCAGCCTTGATTGAGATTTGTCCTAAGCTGCCTTGGTTGCGGCAAGACTGAGCTGCCTTCATAATATCCTACCATACCTTCGTGGTGTTGGTATGAGGGGTAAGTTTACAATAAGTTGGTTTTGCAGTGCTTATAAGGATACCTGGACAGTCTTCACTTCGTAAGTTGGTTTTGTGGAGTTGAGTCAGTCCTAAGGCCAAATTCTGTAATGGTATCAAGCCTATCCTTGATGCCCAACTTCTACAATGGTATCAAAGCCAATCCTTGATCTGTTGTTGGTTGGCCGCATTATCCACGCTCAAGGCGTATTTGGCCTAGGTATGAGAGGTTGTGTTGGAAATTCGACATTAATTGCGGTCTACACCGGGTTGCTTTAATTGCAGAAAAATTGGGATGTCTCCGTATATTCATATAACAGCCTCTAGCACCTTTATTGTGTTGGGTCTACGGGGTGGGTTTAAGGGTTAAATTAGGCTTAAGCCCAAGTTATAAGATTCAACAAGTGAAGAATTAGGCATAGGTGGGATACATTTTAGAATATTTTCAGATAAGGAAAGCAGATATGAAGAACCTACCCTTGAATTTGTAAATGACATCAACTCCAGAGAGTATGCATACATGTGAATCCGCCGAAGCAGCCAATAACTTGCTCGGGTCACTGGGCGAAAACTGAAGAAATAATCATAAACAATTAATAACCACTTGTAAAAAATTATATAGCGTGAAAAGAAAAAAACTGGAAACAGAGTGGTGTGACAGGAATAACTGACCTGAAAGCCAGTGATCCTTTTCCCCGATGTCTTCTTTTTGCCTTGTAACGACATTTTCGTATCCATTTTCATATGACTATCTAAACAAGTAAAGGTAAAAGAATACAATTATCATCAGAAACTAGTAACTTCAATTTTAGGATCAATAATCTGAATCCAGAAACTTCTTTATGTCAGAAGCATAAAAGATAATTTTGCATCCAGGCTTAAAATTGTAACACAGTTCCAAAACATATACAATGCCAAATGTGTCCATACCTAGGATATCATAGAAACGGCAATTGCCTGCCATGGTACCCACAATTGTTCCCTTTCCATCAGGGCGGAAGCACACAGCTGTGACTATCTCTCTGATATCAATGTAATCAACAACCCGACAGCGAACAACTTCCCAGATACGCACCTTTCCATCAATTGAACCACTGATGAAAAAATTATCATTGACAGGATTGAAATTCACACATGTCACTGCATCAAAGAAAATCGAAGAAAATGTTACATGGCAAAAAAAATGATATAGGATAAGAAAAATATAGAGAAACACGCATGAAAAAAAGAGGCAAAAGAGGCGCACCATAATTATTGTGGGAGAAAACTCGAAGACATTTGTCAATCCCTACTTGCCATAGGCGCGCTGTCTTATCAAGAGAGGATGAGAGTAGAAACTGCAATCAATGAAAGAATGTAAACAACAATGAGTTTCATTTATAAAAAACAAAATGATAAGCTAATTTAAAGATAGCACAAGACATAAAAAGACAAATAAGAGTAGCTTGCTTTGGTAGGAAACTAACCCCTGATTTGGACCATGCAAGGTCTAAAATGTCATTACTATGCCCCTGGAATTCATGCATAGGTTTCGCCAATATGCGGAAGGTCTTTGGTGGGATAATCACACAGGTTGAAGAAGAAGATCTTTTCAACTTCTCTGTTTTAACTAAGTTCTCTTTATCTACGTCAAGGGGAGCCACAATACCAGTAAATTGATTCATTTTGAAATATATACTGGATGGATCATCGTCCAGAATGTTCATTTCATTTGTTCTTACATCCTCAACCACCTTCCACACGCGCACGATGCCATCTTCACCACCACTAGCTAGATATCTTCCATCGAGACTGAACTTCATTGTCAAAATAACGCCTTTGTGTGCTTTGAACTCCTGTTCAGTATAAAGACAGGAAAGCTCCTTGACTCGTTTCTTATGCAGATTAACCCGGACTCTTTGTATCCGAGAATCAAAATCCTTGCAGCAAGTTTCATCAAATCCTTGATTCGGATAAAAACAAGTAATAGAATCCAGTTTGCTTAACCAACCTCTCTTCATCTTCTTTTTAGCAACACTCAACAATCTAGTACTTTCCGCCTCTCTCTGCAAATGTCTACGAACAAATGACGACGGCCCAATATTCTTATGAAACTCTTCCAAACTAATCAACTGATTCGAACCCAGAACACGCAGGGTATTAAGTTTCCCCTCTTGATCCAATTCATCTACAACATACCGTGTTCCATCATCCAGATTCTTTATCATACATGTCAAATCCTCATTACCATCACCCCGATTTTCCAACAACCTAGAACCCTCATTCGGCAACGAATCAAACACAATCTTACTCGAAATTGAAGAAACACCCTCTACAGTTCTCAAAACAGCCCCACTGGTCGAACTGATCCGGTCAACTCCACAAGACAGATTATCATCTCCCTCAATCGAATTCGAATCATACTCCAAACCTATCCATCTCATAAAACTGAATCGTCTATCACAAACACTCTCAAGGCTGTTAATCGAAAAATTGAACCTAGCAACACAATCACCACCACCACCAGAACAAGATTCTAAACAATAATCAAAACCCTCATCATCAGACACAGAACTCAAATCCTCACGAATATCATAGAATTGATCCTCATCCACTTCCAATTCCATTTCCACCAACCAATCCACAAACCCTTTCCCAATTCCCCACCCTACAAATCCTTTACTTCACAAAAAATCAAAATTTCCAAAAATTCTTCACTCAATTAAACTTCCCAACTCTAAATTACAGAAAAGGAATCTGAAATAGCTGCAACAAAGATGAAAAATCATACATATATCAACACGGAATTGAAGTATGAAAAATCCAAAACAGTGGAACAAAACAAAGGGAAAGAAAAATACACAATGATTGATGAGATGAATCGTCTTCAAAATCGAAACTTGATCGAAAAATCGGATGAATCGATCATAGGGATCTTCGTCACTGTGTATCTATCTATCTCCACAGGAATACCTACTTCTGGTACGGTACATAAAACATAAACATAACGTTAAATTAAAATTAATAATATAAATAAGACTTTTTATATATAAGATCTGAACTCGAATTTCTGTATTTAATATCTCTATACAGCTATCAACTGAAATACTTTAATCAAATTATAAAGTCTTTATATCTAATATTTCTGCACAGTTATTAACTGAGATATCTTAATCGAATTAAGAATTTCAGAGTATCTTATATCTCTTCACACACAGCTATCAACTGAAATACCTTAGAATATAGATAAGAATTGTCATTTTCAATACATTAAATACACGCGTTTCAAAAAAATATTTTTATAAAAATATCTTATTAATTAATTTATGTTGTTAAAGGTGAAAAATGGTGAAATGTTGAATGAAGAAAAAGAGAAAATGTTTGGTGATGTTGGATTTTGGTTTTGTTGAATTGTTTATGACAAGTGACTAAGTCCACTCTTTGGTTTTTCAGTATTTGCGTGTATTTAATTATTTATTATAGACGAATCATATGCTTTGCTTAATTTCGACTTTCTTTGACACGTTTATAGCTTTGTAGGATAAAGAGAGGAGAAATAAACAAAAAGAAAATGAGTGATGGAGATGTACAATTATTTTGTTTTGTGATTTTAAATTTGTCTGCAATATTTTGTATTCACTGAATTGTGGTATCATTTAAAATGTAGAGGTGTGGTTTCGAATAAACCACGTCTTATTTATTTGTTTTTAAAAAGGTGAAATTTTGATTATTATATTATTTAATAAAAAATAATATAATCAGACAGAACAGTAAAATATCAAATAAAAGTGAATGGTGTTTTATTATTCGTATCATTCAAAATAAAATATATTTGAAATAATAAAATAATATGAATTTCATTTCATTTCATTATTTATCACCTTTTTTTTAATTTAGACAGAAAAATAATTAATTTTATTTTGTCTTAAAATGATAAAATAAAATCTTCATTCCACCCTACTTCATTCTATTTAATTTCTGTTTATTTTATAATATTTTAATATAACCTAAATTTTTTTATCAACTTTGTATGTTTAGAATTAAAATATCTATATATTACCAATTGTAATTTGTATCACAACAACCAGAATACTTTTATTTGTTATTGCAATTGGAATTTAAAATGATGCTTCATATAATAGTTTTTTTACATGTTCTTCTATTATAATTACTTTTCGGAAAAGCAAATTATATATTTATTAAAAGTTTATTCAAAGATATAAAGTGGGCCAAGAATAAAACCACGTTACAAAAGATAAAATTAACAACACACATCCAACTGCTTATTAGAAAAAAAACACCCATCCAACTCAACATAAGAAATATAAAAAATATTATGCAAAATAAAAACACCAGAAAGAAGAAAATATAAATACTAATCTTTGTTGTCTTATATGAAAAGTCTGTTTTACTTACATTCATGTAAAAGTAATGGATTTTTAAAATATATAATCTACTATCAATATATAAAAGTTGATTATTAATAAAACTATTTACAATCCTTAAATAATTATTAGTAGTGTTATTATACTATAATTTAATATTTTTTTGAAATATTATATATAATATTAGATATAATATTTGATCTGATTAAAATTTATAATGAATCGATAACTTCGTCTGTTAGGCTGACAAAATGAAGAGGAGTGGATGTTCCTGCAAGACATTCCGACGATCAAGTGAGAAAGAGTGCAAAGAAATACAAGAGATTAAGGTTTTTTAGAGTGAATATTAGATATCTAGTCCTCACAAATGTGAGAGTTTATATAATGCCCCGACGCTTGACCATTGTGTTGGGGTTGGTTGAAAATATACATGTTGAAAAAGTTTCACATCGTTTATTTTTGTAAAGAAAAAGGGAGTCCAAGACTATATATAGGATTCAAGTTTTTCTTTACAAGATGCACCCGTCAAAAGTACTTTAAGTTTGTATTTGACTTTTTCTTTTCTCTCATGCTCTTATATTAGAGTGTTGTGAGATGTAGTTAAATATTTTCTTTGGAGAGTGTGGATATATTGGGGGTCTGGGTTAATTGAGGGTATATTATGTGTTGTAACAATTTTCACATAGTGTTATTTTCTGGTTGTCATTTGACAACGACCGTGGTTTTTTCTCTGGTTTTGGAGTTTCCATGTTATATCTTTGTGTTGTTATTGTGTTCCTCTTTTTTCTTTATGTTATGTTTTTTCCCAACAATTGGTATCAGAGCTTTTGGTTTGATCCGGAGATAGGAGTTCTTAGTATGCTCTGGGGTTGCAGTTTTGTCTGATCTTCCACATCAGAAAAGAATGGTGGTGTTGTAAACGAGTTGTTGAGTTGCAGTCACAAGTTCTGCTGTGAAGTTTGGGCTAGAGAAAATTTATGGAAGAATATTTTTGACTTGTGGAAAGTTCAAGTCAAAGATGTGTTGATACAATCAAGATTACACAAGGTGCAAGATTATGCCGGTGGTTAAAGAACTTCCTTCCAACATGAAAGTTGCACCATAAAGATTCAACCAGGTTTTCGGCATGTGAAAATTCTTGAAGTGGTTTAGCTTCAAGTGAAGTATACTCTTCTTTAGGTGGAGTATGATAGTTTTTAAAATTATAATTGTCGGTGAAGACAATGTGAAAATTCTTGGAGTGTTGTAGCTTCAAGTGACTATACTTTTTATGGTGGAGTATGATTGTTGGTGAAGACAATGAAAGTTTATGTATTATTTTCAATCAAGGTGGAGATTGTTGGGGTTGGTTGAAAATATACATGTTGAAGAAGTCTCACATCGCTTATTTTTGTAAAGGAAAAGGGAGTCCAAGGCTATATATAGTATTCAAGTTTTTCTTTACAAGATACACCAGTCAAAAGCACTTTAAGTTTGTATTTAACTTTTTCTTTTCTCTTATTCTCTTGTATTAGAGTGTTGTGAGATGTAGTTAAATATTTTCTTTGGAGGGTGTGGATGTATTAGGGGTCTGGATTAAATGAGAATATATTATGTATTGTAACAATTTTCACACAGTGTTATTCTCTGGTTGTCATTTGACAACAATCGTGATTTTTTCTCCGATTTTAGAGTTTCCACGTTGTATCCTTGTGTTGTTATTGTGTTCCTATTTTTTCTCTATGTTATGTTTTTTCCCAACACATTGGTCCCTATTTTTGGGCCTAGATATCAGGTTCCTCAAAAATAGGTAACTGTCAGGAACTAGTCGTTGTAACGGGCAAAGATGCTCGAAATTAGCCGTTACAACGAGCAAGAACATTTTTCACGGGCAAGCGTGATTTCTGGTCGTTCCTTGGTGGCTATCCTTGTAACACCCCAGTTTCAATTATTTGATTTATTTAATTGGAAAATTATTTTATTAGAATTAATAAAATAAAAAGGAATTATTTATTTTGAAATATGGAGGAAAATAAAAGAAATAAGAAAATGCTGAGTTTTTAAGTTATTGGGCTTGGATGTTGTTAGTAAAGAGTGGGGGTGAAAAAGAAGTAAGGATATGTTTTGGAACTCAAGTTATTTTCTCATTTTTCACGATAAACATAAGTTGGGATTTTGGGAAGCAGAGCTCTGAAGGTACGAAGAACGAAGAACGAAGAACGAAGACCATCGCTCAAAAAGTTCAAAGCTGCTAATTGATAAGGTAAGGGGGGCTATTACTCGATTTACCTTTGTTTATGGGTTTATGTACGGTTGATTTGGGTAATCGTAGGGAAAAACCCCAATTGTTAGATGTTACTAGGAATCGATACCCTTAGGATTGAACCTTGTTAGAAAAGGGTTAGGTTTCCAATTTTTATGAATCGATTAGGAATTTTAGGTTCCAAATGGTGGATTGGGAGTATATCTGCATGATCGTAAATTTACCTTAGAGGTTTAGGGATAACCTTAATGTTGTCAGAAATTCCCTAAAAAGGACGAGTAATCACTGTTAAGGTTACTATAATGATTGTTGGAATTTAGGAAATTGAGGTGTTGTTTTGAGTTATACAAACTCGATGTCGTTAGGTACCGAAATGCGCGTTTTGGCTGGCATTTTCCCGCGTTTGGGCTGCTGTTCTGAGCTGCTGCAGGTACAGGAAAATCCTGTACGCGCTCAGCAACACGGGCCGTGTTGCACAACACGGGCACCCGTGTTGCTCTTCTGTGTTGCACAACACGGGCCGTGTTGCACAACACGGGTACCCGTGTTAGGTCCCCTGTAATGAAAGAAAAAAAATGTGTTTTCTGGACACGCTCAGCAACACGGGCCGTGTTGCACAACACGGGCACCCGTGTTGCACAACACGGGCACCCGTGTTGCTCTGCTGTGTTGATTTTTCTGAATTTTGTTTTTTTGCGCGTTATTGTGGATTTTATTATCGTGCTTTTGGATAATGTTATCGAGCATGAATTATGATATGACTTGATATGATTGATGTTTAAATAGTATGCTGAGTGATTACATGCTATCCATATCCTGTTATGATTGATGCTGTTGATGTGCATGATATGTTGATTGATGTTCATAGTATGCTGAGTGTTACATACTTACATATCATGTTGCATTTGTTAATTCCCATTGTGTGGAATTAACATGGTGGCCAATATACGTGTCCGCGATTTAATGGAACGTTGAGGTGGTAGCCGTGTCCGCGATATAA